AACCACACCGCTTCTCACAGGCGGTATTCACCCAGCCCTACGGGCAGCGAGAAACTAACCAACACGAGTTATTCTAACCTGAAGAGGGGGGGGTGGTGGCCCAGGGCCCATTGATACAACTTCTTTCCTCTATTTATTTTCATGTATGTATGTATGTATGTATGTTTTTTGTCATAGGGTGTGCGCACTCGCTAGAGAGAGGTAAGAGACAAACATCCCCCAGGGGGATGGCCACGCCACAATCTCTCTCCTCCATTCTTCTCTCGAGGTTTTGGGCACGCATGCATAGGTACTGGGATGACAGCATGTGCCACCGTGCCTGGGAACCTAACTAGAGCCTCCCATGCGGACCCAGCTTGTGGGGCACAGTGTCTTAGCAGCCATGCCATGACTGGGCCTTACTTTGTGTGTTTTTTTTTTTTTTTTTTTTTGAGAGAGAGATTTTTGCTATAGGTTGTGTGTGCTCCCCAGAGAGACTGAAAGCAAGAAATCATCCTCCAGGGGAATGGCCACACCACAATCCCTTCTCCTCCATTCTCCTCTTGGGATCTTGGGCACACATGCACATGTGTCTGGAGTGGGTTTTAAGCCACTGGGTCCAGGACTTGAACCATGGTGGACCAGAAGGGAGTCCAGCACCTTAACTACTATGCCACCTGTTGGGTTCCAGTACCTTAACTACTATGCCACCTGTTGGGCCCAGTGCAGTTTTGATTTTTTCCTAATTTAATTTGGTTGCCAATATTTTAAAACCAGGCGGTCTCGCACACCCACCCACATGCACTCACACATGTCCACACACTCCCCCTTTGTCTTGGAAAGCAGGTGCTTCAGCAAGCCCGGTCACAGAAGGCACTGCCATGTGGCACTGTCAGCTGGATTGGAGCCACGGCCACCTCCTCAGGGTGAGTAGCCACAGTCCCCCGGGCTCTCTCCCTCACTAAGCGTAAAAACAGCTTCGGTCCTCCTGCGTATTAGGTGCTAGCACTTCACGAGGATCGGTCCATTTAAACCTCACAACAGCGACAACCCTTGAAGGTAGTTATTTTCCCATTCCCACTTCACAGACAAGACAGAGGCAGAGAGAGATCACAGTGCCGATACGGACTCGGAGTCTGGGCTCCGAGGTCATACCTGTAACCTTTATGCTGTCCTCACTGGGACGCCATAGCTGGGGCAACTCAACTTCGAGGAGTCCTCTATTCTAACTGCTAAGTGTTGATGAGCTTCCCAAGTCGCATCTGACTGCATTTTGGTTTCGTGGCATTGTTTGGTTAAAGCCTGCGTGGTTCCAAAGTTCCGGCTGCACACAAGGCCTCACGGCAGGTGTAAGACAGACCTGAACGTTTATGGAATTACAAGCACATGCCCTGGTGTTCTTTCTTTTTAACTGTGATAAAGGGTTATTGGGGGAACTTGTTCCAAAACGCATAAGAAACATGTTTGAGCTAGAGATGCCAGAAGCAATCCTGAGAGGTGTTTCATCAGTCAATATTCGGCTCTGTGGGAGGCTGGAACTCAGGCTGCTCAGGTGGGTAGGACTTCCTGCTGCGCA